CCCTAGCAGTCCACGACATGGATAGGAAGAGATAGAAAAAGGAGAAAGAAAGAAAAAGAAATGAAGGAAGGAAGGACGAAAAGAGTTGGCAACACTTGGCTCCAGCCTAGATAACTATTAACTTCAGCCCTCCTATTAAAATACTATTAACATTCAACCTTCACAGATAACCCACTAGGGGATATATTCCTTGACAGATAAATGCAAAAGTTGCCTTTCATCATTCATAGAACAAAGACAGGATGTAAATCTAACAATATATCCAAATAAAATATTCCAGCTATGATGTAGCGCAATATATCTGGAAGGTACAAAGATGAAAAAGATTTGGAACCATTGATGGACACATCCTCCGTGTGTTTACTGAACCCCGTGTAAACATCTATTTAAACTCCAGTGCATGTTGTTGTTTCATCCTGTCACAGCCACTTCCATGTATTAATGTCCTTTGGTTGACACAGGTTATTAAGTAAAATGGTTGTCTGTTGCCTCAATTTCTAAGCCCTGGCAATCCATGCATAATTCAATTGTTATTTTTTATAGTTAGAATTAGTGATAGCTTGAATTGAAACTCTGCAAGGAGATGTCTGTTTCTTTTTAGTGGAAGGTATTAGCTTGGCCCAAGACAAGACAGATAATTAAAGTGGCCTCATTTGGAATCTCTCTGCTGTCAGATGCCCACTTTTGCTCGCATTAAATCTGCTGTGTTGATTTCACTTACATGATAACATATGCTAGTCTTGGCGCTCCATACCTTTGTATTCTGGGATGCCACGTTTAGTCGGTTCTAGCAAGTGTTTTGGTATTTACACAGTTGATCATGTTTTGACAATCCACTTGTGTTATAAGGTGGTAGAAGACCTGTGACACAAATTATAGGCACAAAGATTAGAAGAAAACTCTTTTATTGTATATTAGCCATCCCCTGCCACGCGTTGCTGTGGCCCAGTCTGGTGGTATGGAAAATAAAGTAATTAGAGAGTGCTGGTTTCTAATATATGTAATGTCTTTATGTTTGTGGGTAAACAGTATTTCTTGATGTTTCTTTGACAGTGTTGACGTAGAGATTGTCTGGTTTGCCTACTCTGGAACATGCAACATATCATTGTCCATCTTTAGGAGTCCCTTTCAAATCTATAATACTTTATCTGTGTGTGTGTGTGAATCATATATATCTATCTATATCTATGGCTGGATGGTTTTGATTATGTTTTCTTGCCCTGGTGAAGGGAGTTGGACTGGATGGCCATAAGTATTTTCTATTGCTCATGGGGGTTCTGTATGGGAAGTTTGCCCCAGTTCTGTCATTCATGGGGCTCATTCAGAATGGTCTTTGATTGTAGGTGAACTACAAAACCCAGTAACTACAAATCCCAAATGTCAAGGTCTATTTCCCCAAAACTCCATCTGTGTTCATATTTGGGCATATGGAATATTTGTGCCAAGTTTGGTCCAGATCCATCATTGTTTGAGTCCACAGTGCTCTCTGGATGTAGGTGAACTACAACTCCCAAACTCAAGGTCAATGCCCACCAAACCCTTCTAGTGTTTTCTGTTGGTCATGGGAGTCCTGTGTGCCACGTTTGGTTCAATGCCATAATTGGTGGAATTCAGAATGCTCTTTGATTGTAGGTGAACTATAAATCCCAGCAACTACAACTCCAAAATGACAAAATCAATTTCTTTAAGTGAAGGACATACATTGGGTTGTAAGGTGTATGCTGTCCAAATTTGGTGTCAATTGGCTCACTGGTTTTTGAATTCTGTTAATCCCACAAACGAACATTACATTTTTATTTATATAGATATAAACAGTAAAGGATCATTAATTTAATGAGCAAGAGGAATTTGAATGTTGGATAGTTAGAAACTCAGCTAAAGAAATGTTTACATATATTCCTATGAGTATGACATGCACAAGATCATGAACTGAGAGATAAATCGACATAATATGTAAAGGCTTTCTGGATAGGCTCTCCTTTTCTGGTATGAATCTAGCCCTGATTTTCCTTCAGTTCTTGGTGAAAAAAACAGAAATGTGTATATCTGGGGAGGTGAACACATAGGATTTTGGCAGTAGAAATAATCTGATATAAAAGCAGAATGGAATGAGAATGCCAAAGGGAAACTGCAAAACTTGGCTAGAAATGGGATTGGCAGAATTAGCATTCCTAGCATGAACAACAGGGAAGTTGTTGCTAACTGTGAGAGAAATAAGGTCGAGCACTGTGAAAGCCATCCACTGCATGGCTATCAGCCTCCTCCCAGTAGACTCAAATCAAGGAAAAGTTTCATGAGAACCATCACTCCTCTTAATGTTCCCCCAACAACAACAAGAGTATCCCTTTGGGCAGCTAAACCAGGAAATCCCAACTGGATGGCCCCCCACGAGGGTCTTCCGCCAGGGACAGACCAAGAATGGGTCACTTGGAAGTCCCCGAACAGACTCAGAAGTGGAGTGGGCAGATCAAAAGACAACTTGGCAAAATGGCACTACCCAGAAGATTCCTCCACTTGTGCGACTGTAGAGCAGAACAAACAACTCCGCATCAGTATTCTTGCCCCCAATGCCCTACCTCATGCACAGAGGAAGAATTGCTTAAAGCTATAGACAATGCTACAGACAATGTTGCCCATTTTTGGTCTGGAGTTGTTTATCCGTTTGTGCTCCCTCTATTTTATCGGTTCTATACTTGTTCTATCTGTGCAATGCTTTTGACATGAAATAAAAATAAAAAACAGTGTGCAAATGAGGTATTCCTGTTTAGGCACAAGAGAATGAAGTAAGGATTTTAAAAAGAACTAAATTGTCAGCATAAAATATATTTAATTGTTATTTAAGACTTCAGTGGGAAAATCCTTTGGATGGGAAATACAACAAACTTTGTACTTTGTTTTGAGCCATATCAATTTAAATAAAGTTTACAATAATGTTGAATTTCTGATGTCTAAGTTAACAGTTTTATATTAAACCATTACTGGGGGGTCTTGATCTCTTGCGCTATAAATAATATATCTTCTATGTTCATCATTGAGTAAAACTTATTGATAATGGTTATGAACACATTTTCTTTCAAATGTTGACTTTTAACTATGGTTTGAAAATTAAGTCTTTGTAAATCTGGATTTTGCACACTGTTTCTAAAACAAACTGCTTGACCTGAATTTGCCCATTAAGCGTGAGCAGCACTAAGTTCCAGATGGTGCTCAATATTTTGGATATGTTCAATAAAATCTAAACATCAGTATATTTTTCCACATAACTTTAGCACAATCAAAACTACAGTATAAACTTACATAGCACCCTATGAAATTATGGGAAATTTGAAATACTTGCAAATTCTTGTGTGAAAATAGCAGATATTACTCAACATGACTGTTCTGCCAAATCCATTGCCATGTTCTAGGGTTTCATCTAAGCTGTAGAATTAATGTAGTTTGACACTATTTCAGTGCTATGGGATCATGGGAGTTGTAGGTTTACAGGGTTTTAGCTTTTTGTGTAGTTCCTCACCAAACTACAAATTTCACGATTCCATTGCATAAAGCCATGACAGTTATATCAAACAGCATTAATTCTACAATGAAGATGCACCCAAACTTCACCCCCCCTTAACCTTTTACAGAAAAACTGTCATTTAAAAAAATGACAGAAATAAGAATCTCATAAATACTTCTGACTGATCTCTGCCATTTTGTACTGAGCATTACCAGGCCAGGATTTAGCACAACAGGTTAACCGCCAGCTGCAGTAAAGATTGACGGAAGCCCGAGTCAGGATGAGCTCCTGGTCTTTAGCCCAGCTTCTGCCTATCTAGCAATTCGAAAGCAAATGTGAGTAGATAAAGATGGAGAATTTTAAAGCGGGGAGGTATTTAAGGCACCCATAAGGAAATGCCAGAAAAATGCTGGCGATTTGATCAAGGAGAAAGTTTACAAACAAAGCTCTTCAGGAAGGACAGCGCACACACCGTGGCCGGAACCAAGCACAGCCTCCATGATGCCGAAGACGGGAAAGCCTATATATATCTCTATCTATGTACAGTTGTCTGTCTTGTCAGGCTATAATTGAATGTTTGGCGTATATGTGTTCTGTGATCCGCTCTGAGTTGACTTCGGGGTGAGAAGGGTGGAATATAAATACTGTAAATAAATTATGCCACCATACATTAACATTAGATGGTATATTTTCTAAATGGAGAAAAATTGCATGTCGTCTTGTCTGAAAAGCATTGAGACTTAAGAGGTTGGTGTAGATTACTTCTCATTGGGGTGATAAAAGCTACCATATGCAGTCAAATTTCATAATAGTACCAGATGATACCTCCCAAAAGTACCATTTATATTAAGTTCTGACTTCTCAAGACTTCTCAAAGGTTTTTGTCGTTTTTATGGTTTTTCTCTAAGCATATTTGCAGAACCACATTATGGCATGTTAAGTGATTCCAACCTGCTTTGCGTTTCTTATGCCCTCTATTTTTGATCAGTTTCACAAATGATTAACTTTTTAAAGGCTCAAGAAGTAGGAGAAAAGGGACCGATCTTCTTTTAATAAGGTTCAGTTTCGAGTTATAAAGATCCAGATACCATATGTCAACCATGAGTTAGAGCCAGAAAAATAACAATAAAAAATATTGGCTCAAGTATTTAAACTTGTAAAAACTGAGAGTTTCTTTTCATTTTAGTCACCATGGAATCTAAAGACTGAAAAAATGTGGACTATAAATCATCTTACAATCAGAAAAATGTGAAAAAAGTCAGACTTTTTCTCAACAGTCTGAGTTTATCATGTTGATCAATCTTTGGTAAACAATGAGCCTAGCAGACATTGTATCACACTTGCAGTTGAATTTTCCTTTTGTCTGCAATTTAATGCATTCATGTTCATGTTGTTTGTCCGATGTTAGTCATAAAAAGTAAACAAAAAAGTACATAGTCAAGTTTAGGGACATCAAACTCAATAAAATATATTTTTTTTCCTTTCTTTTCCTGTTCTACAGTCTGCAGCAGAATATGTGAAGTCCCGTTTACCAGAGGTCCTGAAACAACATCTTCAAGACTATGAAAAAGATAAGGAAAATAGTGTCTTATCGTACCAAACTATCCTGGAACAACAGATCCTGTCAATTGACCGAGAAATGCTAGAAAAGTTGACTGTGTCCTACGACGAGGCAGGTACGTTGACGATTTGGGTGAAAGTATAGTTGCCGTCTTTCATATTCCTTTTTTTTAAGTTCCTTATGGCAGATATTGCTGCCAAGTCTCTTAAAAATTGTAACTACCCAAATATATATGATTCGTTGCACTACTCATCTTCCCATAAAACTAGCCCTTCTTTCAAGATTTCTGCATAAAATAACTTTAAACATATTTATTTTTCTTTCTGTAACTCCAGAAAAATGATCAGGCAAGAATATCCTTTGTTCTGTTTCATAGAATCATAGTCGTAGAATCATAGAATCATAAAGTTGGAAGAGACCTTGTGGGTCATCCAGTCCAACCCCCTGCCAAGAAGCAGGAAAATCAAATGCAAAGCACCTCTGACAGATGTCCACCCAGCCTCTGTTTAAAAACCTCCAAAGAAGGAGCCCCCAACACACTCGGAAGAGAGTTCCACTGCTGAACAGCTCTCACAGTAAGGAAGTTCTTCCTAATGTTCAGGTGGACTCTCCTTTCCTGTAGTTTGAAGCCATTGTTCCATGTCCTAGTCTCCAGGGAAGCAGAAAACAAGCTTGCTCCCTCCTCCCTATGATGCCCCTCACATATTTATACGGCTATCATGTCTCCTCTCAGCCTTCTCTTCTGCAGGCTAAACATGCCCAGCTATTTAAGCTGTTCCTCATAGTACTTGTTCTCCAGACCCTGATCATTTTAGTCGCCCTCCTCTGGACACATTCCAGCTTGTCAATATCTCCCTTCAATTGCAGTGCCCAGAATTGGACACTGTGTGATTCCAGGTGTGATCTGGCCAAGGCAGAATAGAGAGCTAGCATGACTTCCTAGATCTAGACACTAGACTTCTACTTATACAGGCCAAAATCCCATTGACTTTTTTAGCTGTCACATGACATTGTTGGCTCATGTTTAACTTGTTGTCCATGAGGACTCCAAGATCTTTTTCACACTTACTGCTCTCGAGCCAGGCGTCACCCATTCTGTATCTTATTTCACTTTTTCTGCCTAAATAGGGTGTCTAGTATTTGTCCCTGTTGAACTTCATTTTGTTAGTTCCGGCCAATCTCTCTAATCTGTTAAGGTTTCAGGTTTCGGGGGGAAAGGGAATAAAAGCTAGAGAGCATTTAATGAAATACACACATACACACACATACACAAAACACATCTCAAGTTCCTGGAAAGATGGTAATTTATTAACTTTAAAAGCCTTCTTCAATGGATCATTTCATGTCCAATCTGCAGAAATCTCTGAGCCAGAAACTCCAAAACCATCACTGGAAAAATGAAAAAAAAAATTTCCTGAGTGGACAACTTTGGCAGGTCCATGAGCCAGTTTATTGCTCCTGGAACCTTTAAGGAGTGAAACAGACATCCAAAATTACAGACTGCCAAAAAATGAAGGGAAAAACCCAAACGGAAACTGAAGGTAGCTAAAGTCCACTTTGTCAAGGAGACTTGTTTAAATAACCTATTTAAGACATAAATTGCCACTCCTAAAGTCTCCCAGGAGAGATAGCAAATTCATATTTGCCAGAAAAAAAGACAGCCTGGTAGTTTGTCAAGAGGTACACTTACCTACTTACTTGTCCTGTCTGGATTCGTAGGTAGGATACTAACTGCACTTTCTTTTATCCTTAAAAATATTATCAAACTGTTCGCATCCTAAATGGGGTAAAAATGGCACACACAAAGATGGCCACTCATCACAGAAATCTTTAAGTTCTGCGCCGCAATGATGCTTCACTTATATCAGTGGTTCCCAACCTTTTTTTGACCAGAGGCCACTTTGACCAGGGACCACTTGACCAGGGACCACCTTGACCAGGGACCACTTTGACCAGGAACCACTTGAACAGAGACCACTTTGACCAGGGACTACTTGACCAGGGACCACTTGACCAGAGATCACTTTGACTAGGGGACCACTTTGACCAGGGAAAACTTTGACCAGGGACCACTTGACTAGCAACCACTTTGACCAGGGACCACTTGACCAGAGTCTACTTTGACTAGGGACCACTTTGACCAGGAACCAATTTGACCAAGGACCCCTTTGACCAGGAACCACTTTGACCAGGGACCACTTTTACCAGGAACTACTTGACCTGGAACCACTTGACCAGGGACCACTTTAACCAGGAATCCCTCTCCAACATTAGTACCCAAAGGGTTACGAATCAGGTTTTGGTCAGCTTTAGATTTGGTTTGGTTATTTGGGATGTTGATTCAGAAAATTTAATTGGCTAGACCACAACAGCTCTAGTTTCTGATACAGAACATATGCCATCCAGTAGTTGCTATCTGCTCACCCACAAAAAACCATATTTAATAATCTAGGGCCACAGCCCTTATTTTAGGTCTCGCGGCCCACCAGTGAACCACGGCCCAGAGGTTGGGAACCACTGACTTACATGGACAAACCCTCTTCTCTTCCCTTCTTCAACAATATTGTACTTGGGGGGGGGGGAACCCTCTTTGGTACCTAAAGCTCTGTGCTATGTAACATAAATAGGGATCGTTGTGCACTTTGTCATAGTTAAAGATAAAAGGTCAAATCAGTGATTTTATGAATCCTTTAGATATATCTGTACTTTATACAATTTCCCTGTGCCATAAAGTAAAGAGAGAGATTTTAATATGGGTTCATCGATTTATCTTTTCAATACTAGACAAAGATACGAAAAACATGAGAGAAAGTTATGCATGCATGTAAAATAAAGCAGTAACAATTGTATTGGAATATGCATGTGTGAACAATGGGGGAAAAGGAAATCTCCATGCACATGCAGCCAACCACAGCCAGAAATGAGGCGATCAGGTTGGCATGAAGTGCTGCATAAGCAAGTCTAGCTTTAAAAGTTTTGCGTAATTAAAAAAAATAGCCTTAGAATGTCACGTAGTCTGAACAGAAGTCCTGCATTTATATCCATAATGAGGGGGAAAGACTGCTTTTGCATTCCAATCAATTCTCTTGTTCATTACAAGAGAAGTAATAGTGCTACCTGTTCTGAAGCAAGGCGTGATTATGACTGCTGTGCAAAATGTATGTGTGTGTTTTTAAAGTAATAATAATTGCAGCAGATGTTCACAATTGCAAATCCTGTTGCCGTTTAACTACATCACAGTTCTGCGGATTCCTCCTGTTATGTTAGACTTCAGTGCTTTGTCAAACTCTTTTCATTTTAATGAGAAGGTCAAATGGTTTCCAGACTGACACGTTGTGTGAGTAGGTAGACTACGGAGACTGGAGAGGAGGGGGCCGGGAGAGAGGAAAGAAACATGGCAGTTTTGAAGCGGAAGAAATTACAGCCATTTCAGGTGAAAATATAACTGTCAACATATACATCAGCAGGATGGCAGCTGCAGATATCTTCTGCCTGCCTCTCAAGTACTTAACATCTATAATCACAAGCAGCTGGAGTTCTCTTAAGTGGCAGTCAGAAATCTAACATGGAATTAAGCCTCTGAGGTATCTGACGTGATGAAACTTCCATAGCAGACAGCCCAGGTTTGAGAACGACCAAAGTTGTACAAATGTGGATATTTAGAACTAGGGCTCCTGATTCTGAGCTGTGCTCATAGCTTTAATTTGAACTTTAAATGAGCTTTCCAGGAAGCTGGGTATATTTAGGATTCAGCACCATGGAAAGGTCCCTTCCAAGACTAAACCCAAGACTGGTGAATTTGTTCTTGACGTTAGTTTCAACTTTAAATGAATTGTCTAAGATGCTGGATGCATTTATTTATTTATTTACTTACTACATTTATATACCGCACCTCTCAGCCCGAGGGCGACTCGGAGTGGTTTACAATTGGCAATAATGCAATGCCACACAATTATAACAATTAAAACCATCATAAAATACTGTTAAAACGTTACCATACAATACACAATGTAAAATCCGTACAGAACCATAAAACATTATCGTAGGTGTCTCTATGTCAAGTCATCATTCAGTTGTGTCATCCGGTAATTCCATGAATTCATAAAACTATGCTCCATTTGGGAAGGCCTGTTTAAAAAAAGCCAGGTTTTCACCTTTCTTTAGGATTCAGCACTGTGGAAAGATCCTTTCCATAACTAAACCTCAGAGTAAATTCCATTCCACTGACACAGGTTTTTCATTTAAGAAACATTTATGGACCTCATTATAAAATGTCTGTTGTGAGGTCTGTTGTTTGATGAGACCATTCTGAATCAGGCCACTGCTTGATGGTAGTTTGAACTCAACAGTTTTTAAAGTGATTGCAATCCATCATCTCCCTGTTCACTGATGTAGTGGCAAACCACGTTTCCTTGCATCAAAAAGGAGGTAACTAACTGCCTATCATTGTGAGATAAAGCAAAGGAGGGATTGGAAGTAAACTGTAAACCTGTAGTATGTTCCCGAGTTTCCATCTCTTCTAATTATAGATCTGGAACATTAAACCTCGATCAATCCAAAATGTATCATCAATAAGTGTTTCAAAATAATTTTAAAGTATTGAGAAGATATTAAGTGATAATTATTTTTAGGAATCTTGACCAATAGAAAGGAATTAAGCTCATGTCTTTCATTAAAAGCAATGCCTGGCACCTGGACGGAAGGGGGAATTTAATAAAGTCCATTCTGCATTCAAATGAGCAAGAGGTTTTAGGGGCTATACAGACTACATTACTCACACACACAAACACGCATACACCAGGTCTTTGATACTATTTTTCAGAAACAGTGACTTGATTTGGAAACAGTACTTAGTTTTGGCTGTGTCATTGATTTATTTAAGTACATTGTGAGATTGGCTTTAAGCTATTATATCCTTTCCAAAGAATCCTGAGCTTGCAATTTCCTAAAGGGAGTTAACAATAGAATAGAGCCTTCTCCAGATGCTTTTGAGGACAATGTGGACAGAGTGTGTCCAAGACCAGTTTAACCCTGTGTAATTATAGCTTTACAGGACCTAGATAAACTAGAAAATGGAATGAAATTAAATAGAGATAAATGCAAATGTGTAAATTT